GAATGAGATAGTGAAATCAGGACTCTGGCTGGAAGGGTGAATAGCGCAGAAAGCATGTGTTGGCTGGCGGGTACTTTCTGGGAAGCAGACACGGACTGGAAATCGGCGAGTGGCTCGAAGAAGGTCTTTTCTTGGATAGTCTCGTCCTCCTTGAAGGCGGAAAAATCCATCATATTTCGAGGAGGTGGCCATGGTAAGCGAAAGTGATATTTTCTGAAGTAAGAGGGATTTGCGGCTTCTTTTCGAGTCTAGAATGACCGCTTTAAATCAGGCCGTGAATATTTCAAGGGACAGCGACTTTCAGCGTGCTGCGAAGTTTTCGAAAATCAAGTGAAGCTTACAGACAAATTTCGACACAGACGAAGAAAAAAAATGAAGGTAGGAAGCCAGGCGGCTTGCGGAAAGCACAAAAGTCAGGGTAGCGAAAAGTGGCTGCAGGACCCTGAGAAGTGAAGGTGAGAGGGGAACATGGTGGAGGTGAGGTGAGGGAAGAGACGGTGGGTACGTAGTCAACAATGCCCGATTAGGAAATTGTTGCTTGTCAGGGGGGGCGCCCCGCAGAAACAAACAAAGAACCAACCCAAGCCCCTCTTTTTGCCTCTTTCTTTTGGCAGAGCTTTTGGAGATTTTTCTGGTCAATGCTGAAGCAGCGAGAAGCCCTTGACGAAGGAGCAATTCTATCCTACGTTATGCATGTCCTAATATAACCAGCTGGCAGCTCTCCAGAGAATTCAAGTAATGGTAACATGAGAAAGAAGAGGAGACGCTCCAACAAGACTTCCATAGTATCATCTGGCGGAATAGACACTCCTTCATTTAGAATATAGTTAATCGATGCCTCAGTTGATGCTTGTCAAAACGTCATGTGTACATCTCTTCTCCGGTGCCTATTTAGGTAACTGCCCGTGACTGCCTGCCTTGGTTGCCTACCACAACTACCTTATTTCTCGTCTTTTCTCGTCTTCCGTCTTCCCTCTTCCCACTTCCTTCTCACCCGACTTCACTTCCTCCTTCGCTTCTTCACCTTCTCGTTTACCCCCGCGTCGTCTGTGTCTCCTGTGTCTCCTGTGTCTCTTGTGTCTCCTGTGTTTCCGGCTCTCTCCCCCTCCCACAGCGTGCTTCAAAGTCGCTGTCTTTTTTTTCCCCTAAAGGTATGTAAATCTTGTTTCACATCGTTCATAGTTACATATAACTGACAACAAAACGATGTCCTTTGTCTAGATTCTCCTCTTCACCAACGATGTCTTCACTTGGAGAAGCTGCAGCCGCTTGGCGTGACTGCACCACACCCAAGGAGTTTTGCGAAAAATTCCAGTTGCAACCTGATATCGAGTCATTTATGAATGCGATGCAACAACCTTTCGAACCCTTGTCCTCTACACTTTTGGAACATATGACAAGTTACTTCGCTATCGTCAAAACGTTCACAGAAGTTAAGGATCTGCCTCTGGACCTGGAATATCTCAAAAAGACCAGTAACCCAAATCACCAAGACACACTTATAAAGATCCTTGTTTCTTGTCTTCAGGAGACTGGTCAATTATTTCCTACTTCAAGTCGTGCTGGTGTCTTAGTCAATGTTCTCAAAAAACATATGCCTCGAAGAAAAAGCCTCGCCGACAGGGATTTCGAAAATGCTCAGAAGAAAGTCGAAAGGCTTAGAGAGGTCTTCCACACGCAAGAGAAGGGAAAAGCCAATGTCTCAGAAGCACTCTGGGAGAAGATCTACTCCTACTACAGCCAATATAGTCCAAGTGTCTACTTCAGCCCGTACACTTCCATCGTCGGTCCGAGTGGGATCGGTAAAAGCTTCTCAATACAATCTATTGCCAGAAAAGGGCTTGCTTACGTGGTTTACGCGAGCCTTTCACCGCCTCAGGCCTCTTCGTACCCTGGTCCATCCTACCTAACCGGGTATTTGACCAGTAACGAGACCAGCTACAGCCCCGATGATAGGGCAAGAATGACCACGCAATATGAGACTTTTATTGCTGCTAGTATTCGTCAGGTCCAGCTTTGTTGCCAACACGGCATCAGCCCGTCCGACTATTTCACAATGCAGGTTTATGACGATGCCAAACACCGAGAAATCCATCGGGCATTGTTAGCGGCTCTGCAAAGTCTGCTTCGGCGTGCCGAAATAACCAGCGGCGTGAAGAGAGTCAAACTGGGTAGTAATCGCAAACGTGACTTCAAAAGCGACGAGCACCGAGATTCTTTTGACCATGGACAATACATTGATGACGAAATGGCCGAATATGAAAAGGAAATTGAGCCTATTTTCAAAGAATACGCGCAGGGCCTGAAATATGGCGGAATCCCGCACGCGGCAAAGGGCAAGCCCTACGTTTTATTTTGCCTTGATGAAGCACGCGCACTTCTCAATCCCTCGGATTTGGCATTTCTTTCTTTCCGACGTGCAGCGAGGCATCAGCAGATTCAAGCCCAGTTACGAGGGATGCAAGAAAAAGAGAGCTTTTTCTTCGTTCTACTGGATACTTGCGCGAAATTCAACGTTTTCGTACCTCCTCGGGGGCTTGACCCCAGCGCAAAACTTACTCATGACCCGCCCGAACAATTCACACCGATTTGGGAAATCTCTTCTTACGACAGTTTAGCAATCGGCCCCCATACAATCAAAAACTTGTCTATTATTAAAATTGATCACGAGTGGACAAAGCGATTGTTTACTTTCGGCCGGCCGAACTGGGCAATCCAATTGCAAATTGGAGGGATTCAAGGTCTAATAGATCACGCCATGATGAAAGTGTATGGTGGGTCAAACAAGAAAGAACTCAGTGAAGAGGCTCTTACCAGCCTATTATCTTTCCGTCTGCAGTTCTATATAGTCTCACATCATCTCGGTGAGAGTTTGGTCTCTGGCTATTTGAGGATGATCTATGATATGAGCGATTATCGACGAAAATTACGCACTATCCAGCCTTCTGAGCCGATTCTTTCCTGGGTTGCATGTAAAGAAATGGCAACTAGACCTGGTTGCAGGCTCGATGTTCTCAAGAACTTCCACAAGCAGTGCTCATCTGGATCTATTGATGCAGGAGATATCGGAGAAATGGCAGCAGCTCTTATCTTAATGTTTGCCTTCGACAAGAAGCAGTCCCTAGATCTAGCCACTCCGAAACCGCAAACTGTCCTTGAGTTCGTCCGAACCTTGTTCGGGGATAGCAACACTGCCAATCTGTCCTCAGAACCGACCGGGGAACACGTGACCCAATTGATGACCAATGGCTTCGTCTTCTTCAATCATTTCACTCGCTTGGAGGGGCCAGTGAATCTCACCGTTCTCCGACAAGCTTGGGGTCGAGGTACGGCACTGTTTTCATATCCTGGCACGGCATACTTCGACATCATCATCCCTATCGCCATACTTCAAAATAACAATATGTCTTTTATTGTTATCCAAGTGAAAAATAGACAGGGTGACCGGTTGACTGGCGGTTTGAAGGAAGAGGCAGATTTTACCATTTCACGTGCGGCACAAGCCCTGCCTAAAACGAGTGCGTATATGGGTATTTTAATGGCTCTCCGCACTGATCAAAAACCGCAAGTCAACATTGTCGCCGAACCCTCTAACAGCGATCGGAAGAAACGTACCAGTTCAAACGACAACAAAAAGCGGGTCAAAGTCGTCGCCGTGGGCCTTGATCACAATATCTATCCGGGCATGGCTAGCAAATCCGACGAAAGCAAGGAAATCTGTAAGATTTTACAGGATCTGCTCAATCTGAAGGGAAACATCAAGGGTAGCAAAGAAAGCAACTATCAGAAGAACCTCGCTGTGGGATATAAAGTAGACTAGACTTGAACCTTGCATAATTCAGAATTGAATCTTTATGTTCGATGTTTTACTATTAGTCTAACACCGTGCAATGTAATCATTCCTAGTGGGACGCTTCTCAACCCGTCCGGCATGGCAGCTGTATGTGCAGGAAACCTAATTACTTCTCAGCGGATCACGGATGTTGTTCTTGGTGCCTTCAGTCCCCAGGATGTTGTAATATTATATCCTTTGGAACAGGCGGCCAGGAAAAAGACGGCAATGAGGTTCCTGGACTTGGCGTTGGCGTAACTATCTGTGGTGGCTCATCTTAGCACGGTACCTCGACGGTTCACTTCCATATGACCAACGCTCGTATTACGGACGCTGAAGTTATGGGCTAAGATATTCAGTCATTCTCCGACAATTTTCAATTCGGACTGGCTCTGGAGGAAAGGGTCAGTTTAACGGCGGCGACGGATCGGTGCGACATCTCGAGTTTATAGTTCCTCTATCGGTGTCAATGCTCAGTGAAAGACGTGTTACTCATCCTTATGGCATGGCAGGTGGCGAAGCTGGCCAGCCAGGGCTCAAACTGTATATCAAGAAAGAAGTCGATGGTTCGGAAAGGACAATCAACATTAGAGGCAAGATGGAACTTGATGTCAAACCCGGAGAACGTATCATCATTCACACGTAAGTCAGAACAGAACCCCTTTCAAAGATGATTGAGAGAATGCTAAAATATGATTAAGGCCTGGTGGTGGCACTTGAGGTCTCGCGAGTGACAAAGAAACTACACCATTGCTTTCAACCAGTTATATATTGTTTTGCATCCAACGAGACAAGCAGAACTGATTTTGGTGATTCACCTGTTCTGTTCTCCGTAAAACTTGGCCATACACGGTCATATATTAGAATTCACAGTAGGCACCTAATTGGCCCCTACACGAGCTCTAGCGCTGCATATCATAGTTCTGCTATCCTAAGTATAAATCAATCACCTCTTTTGAAAATAAATCTTTAACTAGCATTACAAATAAAAATGGCTTCTATACATTAGCTAGATTACTCACTAGTACCTAAGGTTATATATATCTATATCGATTTCAATTAACCTCATGACATTTGTATTTGTGACTTCGACCAACCTCACGATATCTTCCAACACAATACCTTCATGCCAAAATTGTGGATTCATTTTACGGAAAAAACTTCTGCCGCGCTTGTAGTGTAGTGGTTTTCACACAACTCTTCCACTCCGGATGGCAAGTTGAGACCCGGTTTCGATTACCGGCAGGCGCAGATTATATCTTCTTTGATTTTTTTTTTAATAATTTTTTTACGGATTTTATAATTTTATATTTTACAGATACGTACTGTCTTTATTATTGTGATAAAGAGAGATGTTTTAGTGGTAGGGAGTATACAGCCTAACAAAAGGTGCTATTCCCTTTCAAGAAGGCGCTCTCCGGTTGGCCAGAATTTTGCTCCACTGAAAATGATGTGGGAACCAAGCTTATACATCATACATTATGACCTTTTCTCTCTCTTTTTTTTGTCCGCTTTAGGGAACCTCTCTCCTATTCATGCATTCGTCCGCTAATAGCGGAGATATTGAGCGATATGAAAATGTAGTTCTACTCGGATTTTAGTGCTAAATCCGTCATAAAAAACGTATACATCTATCTGCACAAGGTATATAAAGTCTAAAAATTTCCCAGGAAATTATCTGGATATATCATAAATACAGATTCGAATTCAACAAAGAACTCAACTTTCAGATACATCCCTCTACTTCATAGTAATCCTTCGTCAAACATGTCTATCGATGTCGCCACTCAACGTCGGGGTCTCCCTCTCCATGTCACACTTGAAAACTGCTCCGGCGGCACTTTTATCGTAACTGGTGCCAATACCGGGCTGGGACTGGAAGCTGCAAAGCACCTTGTGGCCGTCGGCGCCGCAAAGGTCATCATGGGCGTCCGCAACCTCGAGGCTGGCGAGACCGCCAAAGCAGGCATTGAAAGTGCAACAGGAAAGACCGGCGTTGCCCAGGTGTGGAAGATCGACCTGTCTAGCTACGACTCCGTAAAGGCATTTGCAAAGAAAGCCATCGCAGAACTAGACCGTGTCGATGCGCTGATCGAGAACGCGGCTGTCGCGATGTCTGAGCGCGTGTTGGCTGAGGGCCATGCGCTGCCCATCACGGTCAATGTACTCAGTACTTTCCTCCTTGCAGCATTGATGTTGCCAAAGTTGAGGGACGATGCCAAAAAGTTCGACATCTTGCCTCATATCACGATCGTCTCGAGTAGCGTGAGTTTCGGTTATGAGGAACAATGGAACCTGATCAAAGACGACCCGATAGCGAAGGCGGATGACGAGTCGATGGTGACATTGATGCTGTACGGAAATTTCAGTTTCTTCTAATGAATTTGCTGAAACCCAGGCTAACATAAATGGGTTCTTTTCGCAGATATCCCTTGTCCAAGCTTATGGAGATCCTGGCAGTTAAGCATATTGCGTCCCAAATTCCTGTATCTAGCACAGGGGTCGTATTAAATCTTGTCTGCCCGGGATTATGCATAACCGATCTTAGCCGGAACGCACCGCCTGCTTTCAAAGAGCAAATTGCCATACAGCACAGGCAGGTTGGGAGGACAGCAGAGGATGGCAGTAGAACACTTCTTCATGGAGCTGTCGCAGGAAAGAAGAGCCATGGGTGTCTCCTCGCTGCATGTGAAATAGCAACGTAAGTCAAGGAGTGCACCACAGACCTTTTGTGACATATTCTCTAATACCCTCGTCATAAATAGACAACAACAACCCAGCTGGCTGGAAGGCGATAAGGGCCAACACGCGCAAAAGCGAGTATGGGACGATATTGCTAAAGAGCTAGAGTCTGTTGAGCCCGGTTGTGTTAGCGAGATACTACAACAATGACCTCTGCTGAGACGAGATTTATTGTAATTTCGGAATTATTCAATTTTCTATGTCTCGTGGTGAACCTGTCATGTAAAGCTTGAACTATACTCTCAGCAAGTAACTTTCGACTATATTGTGAGCCGTTGCACCAGTGGCAAAAATCCACAAGTATTTGGTCAACAGAAACCAATTCCTGTGCCTCTATGATGGATTGGGGAGTTTCTCAATGTATTTGAGACGTAGACGACGAAGCCCGCCAAAGCGCTTGGGCTGCATTACTATGAGTGGAATGAACCCACGGAAATATGGCCAGCAAATCATTGACATCTTCCCATGTGCCAAGGCCCATGGTGGACATCGTTCGCACTGTTGTGGGAAGAAGCCAGATATCGTCGTCCGGTTTGAAGACGGACGCTGCTCCAATAAACAACAGCCATAGCCGAACTTGTTCATCTTCTGGATGGCTAACACAAAATTTCTCAATCATAAATCGAAGTGACTGGGAAAGAACTGGGTTTTCTGGAATCAATCGGTCGAGTGTCGGCATGAATGTGACCAGAAACGCCACTAAGCCCAAATGAATCGCATGCTCGACATATCTTGGATTATGGGAGCCCTTAATAGGTCTGATACTGAGAAGGCGATGTGAAAGCAGTAGGGTGGTTTTGTGAAATGCGTCACAGTCAATTTTCGGCGAGTGTCCACAATTTGCGTCATTGAGCAGCTGGGAAACATTCTTGATATCAATCAGAAGACTCTGAATAGTAGTGCTCAAATTTTTGAAAAAGTAGAGGCGAAAAAGTCGTCCCTCATACACATATTCCTTAGGATAGTTTAGCGACTCCAGAACGGTTTCCTGGTTATACAAGATGTCTGCGCCGAATCGGGTTGGTGTCCCCATACGAAGGGAATAATCTAGATCAGCCCTGATTTTAATATCAGCCATGAGTCCATAGTATTTTTAAATTGTAATACAGTACCTGGCAATCTTTATAGCTAAAATCGGCATGGTTTCTCTCAGTCGCGAAATTCCACCTCGCAACTTGATCATCCGTTCAAGTCCCTGGAAATGAACCATAGCCCGCCAATGCTGATTGTCATGCCGCTCATATTGAGTCAGCATTAGAACTACCGCTATAGTTGCGTCTGTGACTGCATCACTTCCAGAAAGCCTCTGGTTAATCAGGCGGAAAGTGTGAGACAGGTGACGTACGGCCTGCAAAGGGTCTTCTGGCTCTGCTATCAGGTTATTGAGAATACTGATAGATAAAGCCAGCGCACAATGGAAGACTGTAGTGGGTTAGATCATTAGTAATCGTCAAGCGAGTTAGTTGTAATTGATAAGCACGTACAAGCTTCATCTTCGAACATAAGTTCCATCCAGGCCCCACCATGATTACTACTAGCATGATCCATCGCATTATTTAAACTTGGTACAAAGCGTGGCCCAGATAAAAAATTAACGGCTTCAGATACAGTCATTATCAACCACAAAAAACAACGGTCATGGGCATGCTTACCTCGCACGGTGAAGTTCTTCGAATTTTCCGGAATAGGGAGAACCGACAGACCATCTCCGAGCGGGCGATGGACACTGGAAACCTTTGTGTCTTCCCTAGTATTTGAATCATCCAATTGTCGCAAATCCTTGGAATGGCATGAGCCGCTCGGTGTGATCTTAAACCCCAGGCTTTGCGCGTTCTTTCGCGATGGCCGAATTATCTTCTTGCCGACATTTTTGCCTAAGGCTGCGTGGCTGCGAATCCGCTTTCTAACGGCATGGCTGATTGCAGGATTGTTGTTCTCGATGAATTCAAATGACATCTTCAGTTAGCAAAAAGCGAGGAGGTTTGTTTTTGATATCTGGGTCGGAGGGGGGGAGGAAGTGGTCGAGGGAAGCCGCGCTGAGAAGAAGCCAAGGCTCGGAGATAGCGGCCTTAGGGGCTGTGAGTGGACCGAGAATTTCATTGCTAAAACAGGCAACTATGGAGTACGGGGAAATGTTTAATTAAGACAGAGTTCAATAAATCCTCCATCAAGGTAAAGGTGTATTTAATCTGAGTCCGGTTTAAACGGCGCTTTTTTCACGCACTAATCAAGGCACAGGAAACATTGTCGAAATCGCTCCTTCATGCAAAGAACAAGTGTTCTGTGAAACCTGACGGATTATACAAACGACTGAAACGACACAGTTAGTTGAATATTTTGCAGCTATCGTAGATTCATGTTCTTGGAAGCTGTAACTCATGAATCTCAAATTCTTCTATTTTTTTTAATGACTAATAGCTCTATATATCCTTCCATTGTCTTGACTCGGCTGACTTGTAAAAAGCATCAATAACCTTCAGAATCTTTACGTTTGTTTGCAGATCACAACTGCCGTCCTCTGGACTAATCCCGCGAACTCTTGAAAATAGAGACTTGAATTGCCTGCGATAGCACGAAGGTACGTTGGAGGTGCCGTGCGGCAATTGAGTCGCCAGCTTGGTTTCACCCGCGGCGAAACTACCTCGAGCTTCACGTAAATAGAGGGTCGCCACAGGGAAATCAGGGACCGCATGCAAAGAGCCATTGGTTCCATAAACATCAATTGCCCATTCATTGCACCACTCTGTCGGCTCCCAAGCTGTCATGTCCAAGACGATAGTCTTATCTGGATACTCCATGATACCAGAGCAGATGTCTTCATATAGCAAAGTTCCCACGCCGAATTTTCCCGTTGTAACGGTTCCTGTGAACAAGTCTGGAATCCAACCCACGACAGGATGCGGAGGCCGCTCCGGCAGTTTCCGGATGGACGAAACCACTCGTTCCGGAGCACCGAACATGTCTATTACATTTTCCAAGGTGTGGCAACCTTCTGTTTGCATGATCCCACCCAGGTCTTCTGGGATGGCCTGCCAAAGATCCATACCAGCGCCTGACGGGCAGCCGCCGTGGAATCTTGCTGTTGTGATATCTCCCAAAACACCTTCACGGACAACTTTCCGTGCAAAATCCAAAGATTCAGAATAATGCATTTCGTAGCCAAGTTCAACCGCAAGACCGGGACGTTTAGCCTCGATCTCTTCAGCTAGCTTATAGAAATCAGCTGGGTCTGCGGCACCCGGTTTCTCCAAAAACAGACCCTTAAATGGAGCCGGGTGATTGATGGCAAAGCGAGCCCAGTGAGGAACATCTGGATCCAAAGCATGGATCATAACAACATCTGGATTGGTGTCCAGGAGCTCCTTCGGGCTGTCGAAACGTAGTAAACGTGGCAGCCTCTTGGCAAGCTCGGTAGCAATATCGTCTTCTTCCTCGTAAAAGCCTGAGAATTCAAATCCACCCATTTTGTCCAGCACCGCAAAGCGATACATGACGTGTGGGTGTCTGGT